CACTTCATGACAAAACAGAGGTTTCATTTACTAATTAAATGGTTACCTGGTAACTGCAGACAGGCTGGGTGGGTCTGAACCTGGTTTTATCTCTTCTCCTTGACAACAAGAGGTTGCTATTGGGGACTGTTGCTTCAAGCCCCTCTCCGCTTACAGAGTAAGAGAGTCTGTGTGTGCACACTAGCCCCTCTTACATATGCATATATCTGTAACTGTTTGCATAGATTGTGCTAGAGGTGGTCATAGTGATGCCTTGAATTCTAGTCCATTCCCACATGGATCATTCTCGCCTCTTACTGTTGCAGGAAAGGGGGACCCCTTCCAGGGTCTGAGAGTGGTCTCTTGTCTAACACTTGGAAATGGATTATCAGAGAAGACACCCGTGCTGACAAGGCAAGAGACGATCAGGAAAGTGCGCTCAGATGGAGAGCAGCAGTGTAAGGGAACCCAGAAGGACCGCTCTGCTATGTGGCTTGCAGTCTTGGGTTTTATGATAACGGGGTTAGTTTCTGGGTTGTCTTTGGCCAATCATTCTGACTCAGGGTCTTTCCTGGTGGCACTCAGCCAACATAGATGAAGATGAAGGAGGATTCAGGGAGGTTAGTAGGAAATAGGGACTGGAATCTCCTCTCTCCTTTGGACCTTCCCCGAATTTTCCTGGGGGGGTGGTAGCTTGTCAGTTCCACCTCCCTTATCAGGACCTCCTACTGTAAGATGGAGGACTCATGTAAGTGGCTACTATGGTGCCCGGCCAGGAAGGGTGGTTTTTGTCGGTGGTTCCGCTATCATTGTTCTCCGGTGGCTCAAATGGTAAAGAATATGCCTACAGTGAATGCAGGAGACACGGGTTTGATCCCTGGGTCAGGAAGATTCCCTGGAGGAAGAAATGGCAAACCCCCTCCTCCCTAGGATCCATGCCTGGAGAATTCCATGAACAGAGGAGCCCAGCAGGCTACAGTCCATGGGGTTGCAAAGAGTTAGACATGACTGAGCGACTACCACTTTCACTTTCCCCTGTTATTAATATTATTTAATATTACCCTTGCTTATTTATAAGTAACTGCCACTTCATCAGTGAGTAACTTGCCTCTTACCATCTGCTATCATTTTAATTGTTCAGTTCAAATGCAGATGTATGGCAGTATCAGAATTGTTCATCTGGACCCCTGCGGGAACATCTTTATCAGCTGGACATGAATGAATGCTTATGTAGTCTCCGTTGACTTTAACCTTACAGACACCGTTTCCAGTTACATAGGTCAGCACCTTTTCCCTCATCTCCTTCAGCAACGTGCTCCATGTATTCATAATAAAGTTAGGTTGTTCTGTCAGATTCTGTATTCCATCCTGATATCCCATGACCTCCTTCATGAATTTCTAAAATATTTACATACATTAAGGTTCACCCTTTAAAAACAAAAAGTGAAGAGTTACATTTTATTTGGTGGAAATTTTTAGGACTTTAAGCCTGGGAGTTGGCATCTCAAGTAGCCCTGAGAAAACTGCTCTGGTGTGTGTGTGGGGGGGGCGGGGTGCTGAGGGGGCTAGCGGGCACTAGGATATATAGGAGTTTTGCAACAAAGCAAATAATATCTTGTTTTGTGGATATACCATAGTTTGTTTATTCATTTACCAATCAAAAGATGTAATTGTTGCTTTATTTCTTGTATATTATAGATAAAGCTGCTACAAACATTCATATGCAAGCTTTTTTGTGTGCATATAAGTTCTGTATCCCAGCTTTATTGAGATATAATTGAAATGTCATATTGCATAAGTTTAAGGTGTAAAAGTGTTGATTTGATACACATATATATTGCAAAACGATCACCACCCTAATGTTACCTAACACCTGCATCATATCACATTATCACCATTTCTTTTTGTAGTAAAAGCATTTAGGCTCTACTCTCTTGCTAACTTGCAAGTATATAACACAGTATTATTAGACATAATCACTACGCAGTACATTAGAGTCTCCAGAACTTATTCATCCTGTAACAAGAAGTTAGTACTCTTTGACCACCATCTTGATACTGAGCAGGACCATGTGGGGCTCCTGAGCACAAAAGTCTTCCTGTGTCCCCCATTTCTTTGATTACAGGAAATAAGCTTCATTCAGCCTCCATGACCTTCCCTCAAGCAGTTGTTAAATTAGGGAAGGGAGGGGATTACAGTCAAAGGAAAAACAAGCAGTCAAGAGAACCAGTAGTGCAGTCGGGACAGGGTCTTTGTTCTCCATCAAGTGATACAAGCAACAATATCTCCCAGCTGTTTTGCAGATACTGAAACCCACACCAGGTAGGAGAAGTTAACAGTTAACAACAGAATACTGCCCACAGGTATGCAGACCATTTGGAACCAGAACCTTGATGATGCTGATTTCTGATTACCTCACCACCAACCAATCAGAACAATGTCCACAAACTGACCACACCCTCTTTAAACCATTGCTATTAAAAAATCTTCACCACCCCCCTCCAAGTTGGGACACACAGTTTTGAGGGCTAATTCTTGTTGTGGGCCCCTTTGCCTGGCAATACAATAAAGCTATTCTTTTCTACTTCACCCAAAACTGTCTCTGAGATTCAATGCATTGTCAGGGTACAGAGGCTGGATTTAATCTCCCCCTTTTCCAGCTCTCACACCAGCCTAGCCCCTGCTAACTACCATTCTGGTCTCTGTTTCTATAATTGGGCTTTTTAGGTTCCATACATATGTGATATCCTACTTTGTCTTTCCCTGTGTGACTTATTTCACTTAGCCTTAACACTTCTTTCAAAGTTCATCCATACAGGACTTAAAATCAGTTGTGTGAAAAGCTAGAAGTGCATTGTCTGCATCTGGTGGCAAGACTGTTTATCTCAGGAAGAAATTGCACGCCGGACTCCCCAGCATCTGTTCAGTTTGCATTCTCATCAGCAATGATTGGCAGTTCTTGTTGCTCCACATCTTTGCCAACTAGGATTGTTAGCTGCTGTTGTTGTTGTTTTCTCCCAAAACTCTAGCTATTTAGGTATGTACTAGTATCTCATTGTTTTAATTTGTAATTCCCTAATGACAAATGATGTTAAGAAGCTCTTCATATGCTAATTTCTATCTGTATATTTTCTTTGGTGAAGTATCTGTCAAACTATTCCCCATTTTTTAATTGCTTTTTTAGTTTTATTTTTATTTTTGTGTTTTAAAATTATTTCATATATTTTGAATGTTTTTTATCAAATGTGTGTTTTGCAAATATTTTCTCCCAGTTTGTGGCTTTCTTTCCATTTTCTTAATAGTGTCTTTCTCAGAGTAGAGGGTTTTAATTTTTATAAAGTCCAACTTTTTATTCTTACATGGGTGATAGTTTTGATGTTACATCTAACAACTTACTACCAGATCTAAGGTAACTTAAATTTTCTCCTGTTAGTTTCTTTTCTAGAAGTTTTGTAGTTTTCATTTCGCATTTAGGTCTAAGATCTAAATGAATTTTCAGTTCAATACTAGGAAATGTGTAAAGTTTGTTCTAGGTTTGTTTTTTTTTTTTTTGCAAATGTATATTCAATTATCCCAGCACCGCTGGATGAAAGACTATCTTTCTTCATTGAATTGCCTTTGTGTTGTTGTTAAAGATGAATTGACTATATTTTTTAACATAGTCAACTTTTGGGGGGCCCTCTCTTCTATCCCATTTACCTACATGCCTATTTTTTTCTAGTTCCATGCTATCTTGAGTATTGTATTTTTATAGTAAGTCTTGAAAATAGATAATATGAACCCTTCATCTTTGTTCTTCTCCTCCAGTATCTGCTGGCTATTCTAAGTCTTGTGCCTTTCCACATAAATTTTAGAAACAGGTTGCCAATATCTGAAAAATATATTATTGGGATTTTCATTAGAATTTTGTTGAATATAGAGTTGGAAAGAATTGACATCTTAGCAATACTAAAACTCTCCAATCCATGAACATGGAATATCTCTCCACTTTTTTAGATCTTTTTTTATTGTAATTTTATAATTTCCTTCATATAGACCTAGTATTAAATATAGACTTTACTTTTCATGACTTTTAGTCATTTCATGACTTTAGTTTTATTGTAATGTTAATGTTTTGTTTTTATTCAAATTTCAATAGCTAATTGTGAGTATATAGGAAATAAATTGACGTTCATATGTTAAACTTGTATTCTGCAACCTTATTTTGCATGTATGTTTATAAGTTCCAGGAGTTGCTTTTTGTTTCTACTTTGAAATTTTCTACATAGCAAATCATGTCAGTTTTATTTCTTCCTTTCCAATCTTTGTGTCTCCTTTTCTTGTCTAATTGCACTAGCTAGAAATTCCAGCATATTGATAAATATAAATACAGTGGGCATCTTTGCCTTGATCTTGATCTTAGGGGAAAAGTGCCCAACTGATGTGATAAAATGATTTTTTCTTAAGCTAGTTAATATATTGGATGACATTGATTAATTTTCAAATGGAGAATGAGCCTTGCATCCCTGGAATTAATTCAACTCACCGTTGTCTATTATTTATTTTGTATATTGTTAAACTTAAGTTGCTATTATTGTGTTGAGGACTTGTGCATTTTTATTCATGAGTAATATTGCTGTGTGGTCTTCCTTTCTTATAATGTCTTCATCCATTTTGGCATTAAGGTAGTACTAGTCTTATAAAGGAGAAGGCAATGGCACCCCACTCCAGTACTCTTGCCTGGAAAATCCCATGGATGGAGGAGCCTGGTAGGCTGCGGTCCACGGGGTCGCTAAGAGTCGGACACGACTGAGCAACTTCACTTTCACTTTTCACTTTCACACATTGGAGCCTTAGGAAATGACAACCCACTCCAGTGTTCTTGCCTGGAGAATCCCAGGGACCGGGGAGCCTGGTGGGCTGCCGTCTGTGGGATCACACAGAGTCGGACACGACTGAAGTGACTTAGCAGCAGCAGCAGCAGCAGTCTTATAAAATGAGTTAGGGAAGTGCATGCCTACGGTCGCGGCAGCGGTTCCGAGATGGTGGGCGGCGGCGGGATGCGGGGCGGTCTCCTGGAGAACGCTAACCCCCTCATCTACGAGCGCTCTGGGGACCGGCCAATGACCGTGGGCTAGGAGGACGAGCAGGTTCCAGACAGCACCAACGCGGGCGAGATCTTCGATTTGATTCGCTCCATCAATGACCCGGAGCATCCCCTGACGCTAGAAGAATTGAACGCAGTAGAACAAGTCCGGGTTCCGGTGAGCGACCCCGAGAGCACAGTGGCCGCGGCCTTCACACCCACCATTCCCACTGCAGTATGGCCACCCTTATTGGCCTGTCCATCAAAGTTAAGCTTCTGCGATCCCTTCCCCAGCGTTTCAAGATGGATATGCACATTACACCAGGGACCTATGCCTCAGAACATGCAGTGAATAAGCAGCTTGCAGATAAAGAGCTGATGGCAGCCGCCCTAGAGAACACCCACCTGCTTGAGGTTGTGAGCCTGGATTTTGAGCCCGGTCTTGAGCCTGGATTTTGCTCCCAGCCCCACACAGGGCTTATGGCCTTGTTTTCTTGAATCACTGACAATAAGAAACAAACATTTTGCATTTTGTAATAAACCCTTAAATTATATTCATTTAAAAAATAAATAAATAAAATGAGTTAGGAAGTGTACCTTCTATATTTTCTGGCAGATATTATTGAGAGTTGTAGTTTCTTGTTTGAATGTTTGGTATAATTCATTAGTGCTTTCTTCTTTTTTGAAGAATTGTGTTTTTATTTTTAAAAAGTTCTTATCCAATTTCTTTAGTGGCTGTAGACATATTATGATCATTTACTTTTCCTTCTGTGAGTTTTGATTGTATCTTTCAAGAAATTTGTCCATTTGCTTAAAGTTATCAAATTCATAAAATTGTCATATATGCATAAAATTGTAATAATATTACCTTATTATCCCTATAATGTCCAGGAGCTCAATTGTAATATCTCATTTTTAATTTTCAGTATTAATAACTTGTGTCCAGCTAGTGGTCCATGAAAGAATCCGTCTTTTGGTTTCCTTGTTTTCCTCTATTGATTTCCTGTTTTCAATGTCATTGATTTTTTTACTCTAATTGATATCATATCATTGCTTTGCTTGGTCTTAATTTGCTCTTTCTCTAGTTTCATAAGATGGAAGTTTGGGTTATCTGTTTTGGATTTTTTTAAATTTATTCATTTATTTTTTTCTAGTGCACATTCAATACTATATGTTTTTCTCTATGCCCTGCCTTTGATACATCCTAAAGATGTTGGTAAGTTGTATTTTCATTTTCATTAAACTTTTAAAATTTCTCTTGAGACATATTCTTTGACCCATTTGAAATTTAATGCTATTTAATTTCTAAATATTTACAGATTTTCTAGTTACCTTTCTGTTATTTGGGGCTTCCCTGACAGCTCAGTTGGTAAAGAATCCGCCTGCAATGCGGGAGACCCCAGTTCAATTCCTGGGCCGGAAAGATTCACTGGAGAAGGAATAGACTACCCACTCCAGTATTCCCGGGCTTCCCCTGTGGCTCAGCTGGTAAAGAATCTGCCTGCAATGTGGGAGACTTGGGTTCGACCCCTGGGTTGGGAAGATCCCCTGGAGAAGGGAAAGGCTACCCGCTCCAGTATTCTGGCTTGGCGAATTCCATGGACTACAGTCCATGGAGTCACAAAGAGTCAGACACGACTGAGCGACTTTCACTTTCTGTTATTTATATCCAATTTAATTCCATTGTTGTCTAAGAATAACTTTTTCTAATTTCTATGCTTTTAAATAGTTTAATATATGTTTTATGATCTGGTTCAGAACATGGTCCACACCATCAGTAAATGTTCCATGAAAGCCTGAGAAGAATGTGTAGCTAGTAACTGTTATGTGGAGAATTCTATAAATGTCAAATATCTCAAGTTGGTTGATAGTGCTCCTTAGATCAACTATATTCTTACTGATTTCCTGCATACGTAACATATCAATTACTGAAAGACAAAACTCACTAAATTTCAAATATAGCCAGGAAACTCACTATATTTCTCATCTTTTCCCTCTATAAGAAAGGTAGCTTTATTCTCCCTTTTGATTTTCTTTAAGATTTCTCTCTGCCTTTGATTTTTCTCCTTGATTTTCCATTTCTAGGAATATGGTATTGTTAGACATGTTTTGGGTATTTATCCTACTTTGGGTTCTTTGAGATCTTAAATCTGTGGTTTAGCATTTGTAATCAGGTTTGGAACATTCTCAGATATTGTTGCTTTAAATATTGTTTTCCGTGTCATTCTTTCTTTTCCTTCTAGCATGCTAATTAAGTGTGTGTTACACTTTCCAAAATTGTCCCATGGTTCTTTAATATTCTTTCTCTTTGCATTTTAGTTCAAGATGTTCTACTGACCTATGTTCAAGGTCATGAATTCTCTCTTCAGCTCTGCTCAGTCTACTGATGAACCCATAAAAGACATTATTCTTTCTGTTATAGTGTTTTTCATTTCTAGCAATTCCTTTTGATTATTTCTTCATTCTTTCATCTCTCTGCTCACATCACCCATCTGTCTGAGATGTGTGTAATGTTCATACATGCCAGATGCTTCAAATTCTTCTGGTGTCCTAGATTTTGTCTCCACTCTGGACATATGCTTCCCCAAGAAATCTTCCTCAGAGAGAGTCTGTATAAGGGATTTGCTGCAAGATTCATTTTAACTTTAAATGCTTTAATGTTCAGTCTATTCCAATGACATTTTGGGGACCTGGGTTTTAAAAAGTGATCTAGTGGCCATAGTACCCAAACTAGAAGCAGCCCAGTGACTAGATTACTTGGTTCTGAAAATTAAAACCTTTGTCTTTTTTCTTACTGTTAAACTGGAAGAATGTTTAACTTCGGCTGTTCATATTCTCATTTATAAAGCTTTATAAGAACTGCTACTTTTAAAAACAAAAGAAAAAGTAAAAAAAAAAAAATCCCATAATATGATTAGGGGTAAAGAAAGGAGAAAGTTATACAATAGCAGAATTGCTTTAAAGTCTTCCAGACAATAAGCAACAGAAAGAAAATTTTCTGAAAGTCTTCTAAATGTCTTTAGGTAGGGTGTTTAAATTAATTCTTTCACCAGCAATATACCAGAGGCAGTGGCAAGTTATGATACATAGTATTAGACAGAAATAGTGAACTAGATATCAGATTCCATTCATGTCCATTCACTCAACAAATATTTACCAAATGTTTTGTATTTTCCAGGCATTGTGAAGTAGTGTTACTAACTCATCCTGTGAAATTATGCAAATAATTTTATTTTTTTGAGTTTCAGTTTCACAACACAGAACAAGGAGAATTATATTTGCCCACAGCCCTTATTCTGAGGTTCAAATGAGCTAGTAATTGTGGATGTCATTTGAAAAACATAAAACAGACTGTAGTTTTATTTATTTACTTTATTTAAACTAAATACAGTTTCAGTTCAGTTCAGTTGCTCAGTCGTGCCCGACTCTTTGCGAGCCCATGAATTGTGGCACACCAGGCCTCCCTGTCCATCACCAACTCCCAGAGTTTACTCAAACTCATATCCATAGAGTCAGTGATGCCATCCAGCCATCTCATCCTCTGTCGCCACCTTCTCCTCTTGCCCCCAATCCCTCCCAGCATCAGGGTCTTTTCCAATGAGTCAGCTCATTGCATGAGCTGGCCAAAGTATTGGAGTTTCAGCTTCAGCATCAGTCCTTCCAATGAACACCTAGGACTGATCTCCTTTAGGATAGACTGGTTGGATCTCCTTGTAGTCCAAGGGACTCTCAAGAGTCTTCTCCAACACCACAGTTCAAAAACATTAATTCTTTGGCGCTCAGCTTTCTTTATAGTCCAGCTCTCACATCCATACATGACCACTGGGAAAACCATAGCCCTGACTAGACGGGCCTTTGTTGACAAAGTAATGTCTCAGCTTTTTAATATGCTGTCCAGGTTGGTCATAACTTTCCTTCCAAGGAGTGTCTTTTAATTTCATGGCTGCAATCACCATCTGCACTGATTTTGGAGCCCCAAACAATAAAGTCTGACACTGTTTCCATTGTTTCCCCATCTATTTCCCATGAAGTGATGGGACCAGATGCCATGATCTTAGTTTTCTGAATGTTGAGCTTTAAGCCAACTTTTTCACTCTCCTCTTTCACTTTCATCAACAGGCTTTTTAGTTCCTCCTCGCTTTCTACCATAAGGGTGGTGTCATCTGCATATCTGAGATTATTTATATTTCTCCAGGCAATCTTGATTCCAGCTTGTGCTTCTTCCAGCCCAGCGTTTCTCATGATGTACTCTGCATATAAGATAAATAAGCAGGATAACAATATACAGCCTTGACGTACTCCTTTTCCTATGTGGAACCAGTCTGTTTTTGCATGTCGAGTTCAAACTGTTGCATCCTGACCTGCATATAGGTTTCTCAAGAGGCAGATCAGGTGGTATTCCCACCTCTTTCAGAACTTTCCACAGTTTATTGTGATCCACACAGTCAAAGGCTTTGGCATAGTCAATAAATCAGAAATGGATGTTTTTCTGGAATTCTCTTGCTTTTTCGATGATCCAACGGATGTTGGCAATTTGATCTTTGGTTCCTCGGCCATTTCTAAAACCAGCTTGAACATCTGGAAGTTCATGGTTCACGTATTGCTGAAGCCTGGCTTGGAGAATTTTGAGCATTACTTTACTAGCGTGTGAGATGAGTGCAATTGTGCGAAAGTTTGAGCATTCTTTGGCATTGCCTTTCTTAGGGATTGGAATGAAAACTGACCTTTTCCAGTCCTGTGGCCACTGCTGAGTTTTCCAAATTTGCTGGCATATGGAGCACAGCACTTTCATAGCATCATCTTTCAGGATTTGAAATAGCTCAACTGGGATGCCATCACCTCCACTAGCTTTGTTCATACTGATGCTTTCTAAGGCCCACTTGACTTCCCATTCCAGGATGTCTGCCTCTAGGTGAGTGATCACACCATTGTGATTATCTGGGTCATGAAGATCTTTTTTGTACAGTTCTGTGTATTCTTGCTACCTCTTCTTAATATTTTCTGCTTCTGTTAGTGGACATTCTAGGAATCAGCAAACTAAAATGGACTGGAATGGGTGAATTTAACTCAGATGACCATTATATCTACTACTGTGGGCAGGAATCCCTTAGAAGAAATGGAGTAGCCATCATGGTCAACAAAAGAGTCCAAAATGCAGTACTTGGATGCAATCTCAAA